GTGTGTGTGTGTGTGTGTGTGTGTGTCTGCCCGCAGGTGCAGGGATGCCATCTTCCCTTAGGGGCCAGTGTGTGTGTGTGTGAGTGTGTGTGTGTGTGTCTGTCTGTCCACAGGTGCAGGGATGCTGTCCTCCCTTGGGGGCCAGTGTGTGTGTGTGTGTGTGTGTCTCCGTCCGCGTGGCTGTCCATTCCTCCGTCCGTCTACCCGCCCGCCCGCCCGCCCGCAGGTGTGGGGGGCTCACCTGGGTCACTGCTGAGAAGAAGGCCTGCAGCAGGGTGGGCACGGCCTCGGCGCACTGGACTACGCGGGCACAGCTGGCCAGGGGCTGCAGCAGCCGGTGCAGTGGCCCCAACCTGGAGGACACAGGGCACCCCACTGAGTCCCGCCCACCTGCTCCCCCGCCTTGTGCATGTGGGCCGGGGCCCCAGGGAAGGGAGGGCGGTCAGGGCGCCGCAGCCCCAGCCAAGTTCTGAGACCACTTGCACCGCCCCCCTCAGAGCAGGACACTTGTCACCACGTGTGTTCCCTACCGTGGCTCTGCCCCTGTCATCGGGAAGGGACGCAGGGAGGGCTGGCATGGGGCCAAGCTGCGAGGGGTCTGCTGTCAGGACGCCCTGTTCCAGTCCCAGCCCTCCCACTCCCGGGGCGGGGGTGCTACACCTCAGTTTCTCCATCTGTACAATGGAGTCCCCATAATGCATACCTCACAGGGTCCTGAGGACTGATCCGGGGAGCTGGTGGAGAGCAGAGCATGTGGCCAGTGCCGGCTGAGGGCACAGGGGCCCACCCATCCCTGGACAACGCTCTGGCCACACAGCTGGCCCCAAGGCCTCGGTGACCCCCCCGATCCTGCCAGGTGACAGGGCCGCACCCCAGAGGCTCCCCACCTCTCCGTGGTCCCGCTGGCCGTGGTGCGCAACAGGTGCTGGAGAAGACTCTGGAACTGGGGGTCCCGGGAGGCCTCCAGACAGCTGGGAATCCTGAAGGAGGGGTCCCACAGCGGCCTCTCAGATGAGGCTGGCAACAGCCTGTGAACAAGCAGGTGTGAGGCCGGACTCAGCTCGTGGGGACAAAGCAGACATCCCCATAATGTCACAGCACCCAGGCCAACGAGCCTCAGAGTGACTGGAATGGGCCCAGGGCCTGGCACCTACAGGGCGGGGCTCCACAGCCGCGAGAGCTGGAATGGGGGTAGCCAGGAGCAGCCAGGGCCAGGGGTAGCTGAGAGAGCTGGGCTGGGGCCTGGCGCCAACAGGTGGCAAGGAGCCAGGGGAGGTGCCGTCACTGGGAGGCGGGAAGGGGCCCAGGCACGCCCCTTGGCCTCACCGGAGCTGCAGGTCCAGGGCTGCGGTCAGACAGGGCAGGTCCAGCAGCATGTGCAGCATCTCCACGGCGGTGTCCACGTCCAGCAGCGACGGCAGCAGCGCCACAAACTCGGAGGTGAGGGGTGGGCTGTTCCAGGCCAGGAGCTGCAGGGACAAGTATGGCAGCTCAACGGGGATGGGAGAGCCTGTGTGCGCAGCTTAGCAGCAGGGCCACTGGCTCGGAGCCCACGGGCTGCCACAGAGGGAGGGCACCTCGGTCCCAGATGTGCTGCCCCTCAGTAGGGGTGAGGGTTCCCCTGTGGCACTGGAGCCTGGGACACTCTGACCTGATCACTCTGTCCCTGCTCTGCTGCCACATTCCCTTTCTCCCAACCATCCACACAATCTCGTTCCTCATGCCGTCCTTGTTCGCTCTAGAGAAACAAGTGTCTCGAGGTGATTTGCAAAGGCAAATTTTGTAACCATGACTGGTCACAAAAGGCATCAGAAGTCAACAGCACCAAAGGGCTGGGCTCAGCAGCAAGGCTCCCAGATGACAAGCCCACTGGATGTGACAATTGGGACAAACTTCCATGAGAACCAACCGCTTTCAGGCACCGTCCCCCGCCCCCCCCCACACCCGCCCCATTCCTCTGAAGGAGGTCAGCACAGGGCTGTCCCTGGTGGGGACATGCTTCTGTGTGACACACGGACCCCAGGCGGCCCCACAGCTCACCCTCCGCCCTGGCCCCCAGCCCCCGGTCCCCCCAGCTCTGGCCCAGGACGGTGGAACGTGCCTTGAGGAGGTTGGGGAAGCTCCGTTTGAGGATGTCCAGGTTCCTGCCAAACAGAGGAAGGTTGTCCCTGCAGAAGCACACGAGCTCGAAGGCCAGCAGGGGGCTGTGGAAGAGCTCGCAGGGGGTCCTGTTGAGCAGGTGCTGGAGAAGGGCCTCCGAGTCCACCGCGGCTGCCTCCCCTGAAAGGCACCTTGCATGGTCAGGGCTGGTGCCCCCGCACGCGTGTCCCCACCTCTGCTACCAGTGGGGAGTCCCTCAGGGTCATGGCCTAGCCTCCGGGACCACACGTGTCTTCAGGACCCCAGGGCCCCTGGGGGGGGAGCTCTATCCCACACAAGAAAAACTGGCTGAGCTGATTTAGCTCCTCTGGAGTCTCTGGCCACAGACCAACTGCTCGGAGTGACTTGACACAGAACATTCTTAAGAAGGTGGTGGTTCTGTGGCCCCTTCCACGAAACCCTAACCTCTCATGGCAAAGAGAGTTCCAAGGTTGGCGTGACATTGCTGAACTTTCATTCACTACATAAACCTGTTTAAAATTGACCCCACCTGGGGCTCAGAGGCCCTCAGAGCAACACTCTATCGCAGACGAAGGAAAAAGAACCACAAGAAGAGAAAAGCTGTCCTTGGCCATGAACCAGAAGGTTCTCCGGGCGGCGCCAGGTTCCCAGGCGTGAGGTGGAGGCTCACCGTGGTTCAGGAAGAACTGGGCGATGGGCAGCAGCATCCGTGCCCGGGTCGGGTCTGTGCAGAGGCGCGGGAGCTGTGCCTTCAGGCAGGACAGGGTGCGGTACAGGAAGGAGGGGTCCTGCTTGCAGAGCACGTCCAGCACCAGCACGGCCTCCACCAGGCACTGTGGGACAGGGGACAGGGGACAGGGGGTTGGGTGGAGCTGGGGAGCCCTGTGCACCCCAGATGCCCTGCCCGCCCCGTGCTTACAGCTTTCTGCAGGTCCGAGTCCCCCTTCCTCAGGGCTCCTGCAGGAGGAAGAGAGTCCACTGATCTCTGTGTCAGCATCAGAACAGTGAATGAGGGGCACACTGTCTGGAAGCTTGACAAGGTGGTGAGCCACCTGGGAGCAGAGAGCAGCCCCAGGGCAGACAGGAGATTTGGGCAGAAGCCCTGTGGGCTGGGGATGGCTTCTGTCCACTGCGGGGCTCCCCGGGGCCTACTTCTGGAAACAAAAAGACTCCCTGGGGAAAAGAGGCTGCCCAGGCTTATTCCCCACAAGCAGCCTGGGGCGTGGCCTTGAGAGGGGGCGGGGCGCGGCTCCTGGGACTCACGCCGAGTGCTCTGCTCCACCAGGCGCTGGCAGTACTCAAAGGCTTTCTCCCGCAGCCGCTCCCGCGGGGGCAGCAGGTGGCCGGCCGTGGAACTGGCAGACAGCACGGACAGCGTGGAGCCCTCCAGCTCCGACCTGTCGTCTGGAAAGGAGAACAATGTGCTTGAAAGGCGCCCAGGCCAGCGCCTCCGGGGGCGAGAAGAGTTACCGTGGCCGCCCTCACCAGAGCGGAGGTGTCCCCTCCCGCAAGTCCAGCCTGTCTACGTCATTGGTCAGTCTGCGGAGGAGAAGAGGTTTGGGAAGCTCTCTGGACACCCTTGTTGACATCTGCCCTCAGTGATCACTCTGGATCCTGATCCACGACCAGGAAGGGCCTCTCGGTGCTGACGAGGCTGCCCCAGGACTACCGGCATCACCCAGGACCTCACCTCTCCCTTGTCCCCCACCATGTGCCCCCTGCCCTGATGTCCCACCTGCGTCCTGGGCGCTGGGGCCCTCGGGGTCGCTGTGCAGCAGCCATGCTCGCAGCATGGAGAAGGCCTGCACATTCAGCCACTGGTCCTCCGTGAAGTGCTGGCCGGTGGACAGTACCGTGAAGAAGTCTGTGGCTACTGCCCCATCCAACTCGGTGATGGGGCCGGGCTGCGGGGGGCAAGGAAGGATGGGCAGGCTGTGGGGACCCGGACCGGGAAGGGGGTTATGGGCACCGGGGAGGGGAGGGGCGACGTGGGAGCGTGAGCCCCACCCTCACACCAAGTGTAGCCACTGTCCACATTTGAGAAATGGGAGTAGCCCCCTGGGAGATGCATGAATGCCAGCACCTGAGTGCATGCGGCCTTGTTACATAAGCGACACTTGTTAGCAGGTGTAGCACACAACGGCACCGGCTGGGGGGCTGTGACCCCAGGGGACCCAAAGCTCCCTCACCCAAGTGGAGACAGAGGATCATTCTGGAACCAAGAGAAGTGGAGGACAGGAGGAGCTGAAGGGACCCTGTGGGACAGCTGGCCAACGTGGCCCAGGGATGTCCAGAAACAGGGACGTTTGGAGTCCCCAGGCTCACCTGCCGGGCTCTGGGTGTGGAGAAGAAGCCTCCAGAAGTGTGGGCAACCCCTTGCTGGACGCTGGCATAACGGAGCCAGTCCACCAGCCGCTTGTTGAGCAGGTTGGTCTGGTCTTGGGGGTGGTGGGCGGTGGCGGGCAGGGAAAACAGGTGGGAAATAGGTAAATCCCACAGACTCGGGCTGCAAGGGCACTGGTAGGTCTTTCTAGAAAACAAGCTGCTGCTCTTGACAGGGCGCTGTGCCCTCAGACCACCCCCGACAGCCTCCATCTGTGCCTCCTCACCCTCCCCGCCCCGGGGCCTCTCCAGAAGGGCGAATACCTTCCTGGAGGGTGTGTGGGGCAAGGTGGGCGATCTTGGACACGATAGGGAGTAGGTGCCTGGGACTGGACCCCTCGGGCTGCCGGCTCTCGAGGACCCTGAAGACCCGCTGGCCCACGCTTCTGACCTCCTCCTTTTTATCACCCTTCAAACAGAACACAGGTGGACCGGGAAGCGGTGACTTGCATCAGTGTGCGAGCAACAAGCCATTTCGGTCTGAAAACTTCTGGAAAAGGACTGTCCAGTTCTGAAGGCTGCCATTCTACTAGCCTTGTTCTTTCTGTGACGTCACCTCTTACCTGCATCCAAAACTGCGGCCTGTATTGACCTTCACAGGGCCCTGCTCCTTCCCCAAGAAGGAGTGGGAGATGGAAGGAGGGGGCGGGGAGACTAGAGGAGGGGTAAGGGAAGGGAGGCAGGTCTTTGTGCTCCTTCTAGATGCATACAGGCGCCGGGAGGACTGGGACACAAGTGACAGCTAGAAATGTGGCCGAATGGAGGGGGTAGCCAAGCCCAGCCCACTCATGCAGCAAGTAGGGACCCCACGCTGGCACCCCAGGGCAGGGCGACCCACCTAAGCAGTGATAGCCTCGTACCTGGGCCAAGAGCACGGAAGCCACCAGGCTCAGCTGCCGCGTGCTCTGCATGTGGTCACAGGACAGGCTCAGGCCATCGTAGGGGGACATCTCTCTCAGAACAGCAGCGCAGAGAAGCTGGAGCTGCTCGGGGCACTTGGGTGAGCACAGGGTGGCCTGCAGCAGGTGGACACAGGTGTCCTCCAGCCTGGGGGGGACAAGGCTGTGTGAGCAGGTGGCCTGTCACCACAGAAGTCCCCCGGGGAAGCCACCTGGAGTTGTCTGGTGGGCAGAGAGAACTTCCTGCATCCGAGGCCCTTCAGCACTGGCTTGAGGGGACCTAAGACTCAAATGCCAAACCCGTACATTCATGCCAAGCTGCCTCGCACTGACGGGTACGGGCCTGTGGCCTGGTGTGCCGGGAGCCTGGCCTGGGGCCCGGAGCACCCCAGAGATGATCGCACTCACTTCCGCCTGTATTTAGTGGCTGAGACGATGAGGAAGAGCCTCTGCAGGGCATCCACAGCGTCGGGCCCCGGCTCCTCCTTCTGCAGCAGCTTAACGACCCTGGAACAGAACTTCTTCAGCTCCTCGGCCTGGATCTCCCTGAGCAGAGAGCGAGAGGTCAGCCGCCTGGTGCTGGGGGACCCAGAAATGCTGCCCTGAGCAATGGACAGAATGGCTCTGGGACTGGAGGAAACGCCCATCTAGCAGAGCAGCCCGGGTGTCCTGTGGGAGAGGGACGCCACCAGCCCCCCCTCCCTGGGGCGCAGCCATCGCTGGGGCCCTCCCCTCCCCTGCTGGGCACTCCCAACTTACTTAGCCTGAAATAAGTTGCTTTTCAAAGGATTAGTTTCTGGGAGCAAGAGCAGACTCTTACGTATTAAAGGACAAGCTTTGGGACCCTGCAAGGTACGCTCACTATAATTTCTTATCCCAATGTTTAATCTGCTTAGTTAAAAAATTTATCTGTTGAGCATCAGTAAGATATCAAACAAAATCTCAAAATGGAAACCTGGTTTTACAGTTTTGTTTTAGTCCAGACGGCAAGACAAGATAACACAGCAAGGAGATGTGGTCCTATGGGGACCTCTGGGGGACTCTAGGAGAAGGGCCCCCATCTGCCCCCTGAGCCAAAGCTAAAGGCCACTGAATCCTGCTGGACCAGTCAGGTGCTCGAGCTCAGGAATCTGGGGTTTTGAACCATGAGAGACGGGGCACCCCCAGACTCGGGCTGATGCGAAGGTTGGGGGCACGCGTCTGGTCTTCGGTTCTTCCTTAAAGGCCGGGGGAGAAACCTCAGGGAATTCTCCATCCCTTCTTGTGTCCCTCCCACCTCCTATCCCATTTTCATTTTTGTTTTTACTTGTCACAGCCGGAATCGGATTGGGTGACAGACAACATAACCGTGGTTAGAGGACACAGAAAGACAAGAGGCCTGGTTGGGTCCCTTTCTATCTGGGTTAATGAGACTGAGGGGGACCAGACTGTCTCAAAATAACATGGGAGACTTGTCCTCCCAAATGAATCCTTTCTAGCAGTTTCTCCAAATTGCAGTCTGCTCAAAGCCCTCAATGGCTCCCCAGTGCTGTCAAACCAAAGCTCCTACTGACACTAACAATTCGTACAGGGTCCCGGGCCTGCCTCAGTTATGTAAGAATCACAGAGTCCTGTTTCTCTTGCTCTTGACTCTCTGCACGGACCCTCAGCCTGAAATGCCCCCGACTTCACCCCTTGCCCGCTAGTCCTCATGCAGAGCCTCTGCAGAGTTGTCCGGGGCTTCTGGAACTGCCCCCCCGAACATGCTGCACACTCCACGGCCCCCTTCTCAGAGCCCCTGTCCTTTACTCAGTCTTCGGCTCACGGTGATGCTCCCAATAACTTTTTCCACCGTTGCTTTCCAGCCCCGAAGAATTCAGGAACAAAAATTCACTCCAAATCCCAACTCCCGGACATCAACAGTGGATTTTCAAGTGCTGCCCCAAATCACGGGCTTGGTTAGAGCGAAGCAGAGTGAAAACCAGAACACCTGACAGTGACTGGCTTTCCTCAAACAGAAAGGACTTGCACACCTCATGTACTTCACTCAACTGATATCGAACCACACGTTACCTTCTACCCACCCACACTCACCCACCAAGTACCACAAGAAAGAAATATTTAGACAGTGAAGGCTATTCATTCTGCCTTTCATACCACGAATTTAGGACCATGAGTAGAGGGGATCGGGGGAGAGGGAAACCCACTCAACTTCTGAGTGGGTCTTGGCTCTTACGGGTCAAGAACGTTGGTTGGGCCTGTCGCGTGTTGATGGAGAGGCTGGTATTTAAGGACACCCATGTTTACTTCCTACCCCCTAAATTCAAGCGAGCAAGGGCCGGAGCACTGGAACTTGAATATTAGAAAACTGTCCAACAGTGAAGGGGACACAGACCGTGCTGGCCTTGATGGGAGGGACACGGTGCCACACATCCACGAGGCACTTTCCCAGCAGGGTCACTTTGGCCACAGAAGGTTTTTGCCCCATTCACAGCCTTTAGAACCTAAGCTACACCCAGGATCTTGTTTCACTAAATTACAGCAGCTTCAGCTGTCCGAGTCCTTCCCCCGATTGGTCCAGCGCCAGATCTGGTTTTGGGGTTTCAAAAAAAAAGTTTGCCACCAGGTATTTTTTTGCATACAAGTAGCATCAAGTTTTACCCGGTCTCACGGAGGGGGGCGGCGGGGGGGGGGTTCAGCCCTGGGCTCCCTTCTGCTTTGTCCCATGACTGGTTAGTTGGTGAGAAAACGGCACCTGAGGAGTTAGTGCGAGTCCAGGGCCAGCGAGGGCCAGAAGCCGGTGGGAATTTCTCCACCTAGCTAAGGCCTCCACAGGAGAGCGCCTTTCTAAACCCCCAAATCCTCCCTTGGCTCCCCCAACCCTCAGATGGTGTCAAATTCCAGAGCCTGGGGCACAGAGCTGGCCTCAATCCCAACAGGCTCTGTGCTCCTGACCCCATCTGGGAGCCTGTGGCTGTCCCGCTTCCTGCTGGACGTAGGGGGTCTCACCCACAAGCCTTCGGCCAGTCAGCGGGCCTCCACCCCGGGCCCCCTAACCTTGGACCTGTATGGCGTGCTCCCCGTCCCCCGGGTCACTAGAGCGGGTCCAGGAGGGCCCCTGCGAGTCGCCGCCCCCCGCACGCCCTGCCAGGAGCCCCCAGGGAAAGGCCGGGGCACCTGGCCTGGTGGAGCAGACTCTCGGCCCCCGCGGTGAACATGCCTCCTCCTCCTCCGCCGCCGCCGCCGCCGCCGCCGCCGCCGCCGCCGCCGCCGCCGCCGCCGCCGCCGCCGCCGCCGCCGCCGCCGCCGGCAACTCCAGAAGCCCCGCCTGCAGCCCGGCCCGCAGCCCGCCACTTCCGGGTCGCGTCACGTGCCGCATCACGTGGGCAGGGAGGACGGCCGCCGATCAAGGGGCTTTGGTGGAGCCAGTCCGACGGGGCGGGGCCGTCAGCGCTCGGGCCACCGGCCCAGGTGGGCTCGCGGTCGCCTTAATGGGTTGCGGACCGCGGACCCTTGAGACCTGAGGCCCTCAGACCCCGGAACCTCTTCCCCCCGGGACTCCAGGACCCCGTGACTTCAGCACCTCAAGGCCTCAGGTCCTCCCCGAAGGACTCTGGGCGCCCGGGTGCTGTTAGGAGGCGGCCTTTCTCCGGCCTCAGAGCCACTGCCCCACTCCTAGGTTGTTACCTGACCACAGACGACACCGGCGTGTGCGGGTCCGCAGCTCAGTAGAACTGAAACATGAAACACTGTGGCGTGTGGCAGTTTGCAGGGCACATGTTCGAGCCCTCCGTGTGGCACCTGTCTAGGCCCTAGAGCTGTTTTAGAAGTCTCATTCGATGCCCACCCCAACCCCAGGGTGCGGGCCGCAGGCTTAGAGAGTAGTTCTAGTAGTTCTGGGGGAGGCGTTGGCAGGATTCCACCTGCAGACTGTGTGGGACGCAGGGCCATCCGCCGGCCGGTGACCATCCTGCGGAGGAAACGCTGGGTAGGGCAGGCAGGGTGCTGGGGAAAAGGGTCTGGACTGGAGCCCAACCTGAGCCCAGAGGCCGTGGGGCCTAGAGGCGGGGAGGGGCTCGCAAAGGCACTGCGGGCAGCACTGCAGGCCTGCCTCCTGGGGCCCATGTACACCTGCGGGGGGCCGGTGTCTGCCATTAGGACAGAGAGTGGATGGAGTGGCCCCGGAGACACAGGGGAGTCATCTGAGTGAGGCAGAGGCCGCGGGGATGGAGGGAGGCAGTTTCAGCAAACCCGCATGGGTAGAATTTGTCCCACCTGGGAGGGATTTGGGGGCAGGAAGAGGAACAAAGAAAAATCAGGGCGACAGCGGGATGCGGGCTTTCTGGGAGGTGCTATTCACTGGGGACTGGGGCAGAAGAGGAGTTTGGGGAGTCATTCATTCAATGAGCAAGCCATGACTGTGTCCCTTTGCTGTGCTAGACAGTGTTTTAGGTTCTGGGGATCCGTGAACAGGGGACGCCGGCCCCTGCCCCCGGGGAGTTTACACTCAGCAAGCCGACAAATATGCCAAGGTGCAGCTGCCTAGTCAGTGCTATGGAGAGAAGAGGGAGCCGAGTCAGAGCAGGGCGCTGGGGAAGTGGGGTGTCTGGGCGGGGTGGGGAGAGCAGGGGGGCCTCAGAAGGATGAGCAGCGAAGACACACCTGATGTGGGGGAGGGGCGGGGAGAGGATTGGCTGGCACTTGAAGAGCCAAAAATTAAGTCCTCCATTAAGAGCAACCTCGGGCTGCACCAGTCCCAGTCCCAGGAAAAGCCTCAGACTGCTCAAGGCTAAAGCCATCCTCGAACCGCCCTCAGTTCAGCTAATCAAAAGAAAAAAAGAAACATTCCTATGGTCTGAGTCAAGGCTGGGAACTGCAGATACAAACTAGCCAATTTCTCACTGCTTGCCTGAACCCCACGTGGGCCCTTTGAACTCACCTCATAATTGGTCATTTCCAAAGCATTCTCAAAAGTCATGATTGGGTCCCACCAAAAGTAACGAACACCTCACAGATACTGAATGGTCAAAGCTGTAATTGTAATTGGTGCTTATGTGATGATGCTACATGTACTGTAACACCCCCATCCCTTACTCCTTAAAAACCCTATTCGCTATTGTTCTTGGCTTCATCTTGCTGCCATGACACAGGTAGGCAGATGAGCCCCTGCTGGAGCTTGTAATAAAGACCCTTTTGTATTTGCATCGGTATCGGCTCCTTGGAGGTCTCTGGGAACTCGCGAATCGGGCACAATACACTCACCTGTCAGAGTCCCGGACGTGGTGGTCTGAGATGCCCCTACTGGCACCCAGGATGCAATGAGGATGGCAAGTGCCGGGGCCCCAGAGTGACGAGGAAGGGGGCTGGCCAAGGGAGTCTGTGCCGGGCAGCCTTTACAGGAGGCCTGCCACCTGCCGAGCACCACTTGTCAGCAATCTCCTTGAACCCGAGGCACAGCTGCAGCGGTTTTATTATTACCAGTTGAAGGAAGAGCGAGAGGACTGAAGCTAAAATGGGAAGGCGCCCAAGGTCACACACACGTCAGTGAGAGCCGCTCTGACCCAGCAGCGGGACCTGGGGGCAGCCACACTGTCCGCTGCCGGCCGCAGAAGGGCCAGAGAGGTAGCACCTGGGAGAAGGCGGGGTCGAAGCGGTCAAGTCCTGAGAGCCACAGCTGAGCCTGCGCGTGGGGCAGACATGGACACACCCAGCTGGCACAGGTTTGGGCCAGTCGGGCAAGAAGCACCTAGCTGTCCCTTGAGACTCTGCAGCACGGGGAGGCGCAGCTGGGAGTGGGAATGGGGAGCGGGTGGAGTGTCTGAATGGGAGGAGTCACCTGTGGGGAGGCCCAGGGCCCCTGGCCCAGGCTGGGCTGCAAAATCTAACTGCAGTCCTCTGCCCTGCCGTTGCTGGGGCGTTTGCTGCAGGCTGTCCGAGCCGGGAAGCACCCTCCGGCCTGCAGTGGCGCCCGCGTTCCCGCATTGAGGGAGAGACTGGTGCTGCAGGAGCCCCAGCCCTGGAACCACACATACACAGGAAGCTGGGCGTGAAGCTACCAGCCCATAGCTTACTAATGAGCCTGGGTTTTGGTGGGAGTTTACTGGCTCACCTGGGTCACGGCATAGGCGTCAGATCCAAAGGTTAATGGCATTGGGGAGCCCGGGTGGCTCAGTCTGTTAAATGTCTGACTTCAGTTTGGGTCACGATCTCATGGTCCATGGTTTGAGCCCTGTGTTGGGCTCTGTTCTTCACATTCTGTGTCTTCTTCTTTCTCTGCCCCTCCCCTGCTCACGCTGTCTCTGTCTCTTAAAAATTGAATAAACGTTTAAAAATTTTTAAATTCAAAGGTTAACGGCATTTAGAACTATGAAATTAGACCTGGAAAGGAGTTCAAGTACTAGTTTCATAACTTAAAAAATGTTTATTTTTAAATTTTTTAATGCTTGTTTATTTTTGACAGAGTATGAATGGGGGAGGGGCAGAGAGAGAGAAGGAGACACAGAATCCCAAGCAGCTCCAGGCTCTGAGCTGTCAGCACAGAGCCTGACGCGGCCTCGAACTTATTAACTATGAGATCATGACCTGAGCCAAAGTCAGACGTTTAATCGACTGAGTCCCCCAGGTGCCCCTAAAAATGTTTATTAAGGGAAAGCATAGATGAAGCACATAAACTTTGAGTGAACTCAACGAGCTTTCCCATTGTTGTTAATCAGCGGCACGCTAGTGAATGTTTAACTAGCTCATTGTAGCATTTGATCATTTCTGTGGTGTCAATATTCCCCCCAAGTGGCAGATTTCCAGGCTGCCAACGTGATGTCACCAGGTTGGGGGGGGGGACAGTTACTATCGGACAGTCCGCCCCCCCGTACAGATACAATGGGTGGGGGTGGCCCCAGGGCACAGGCACAGTCAGCAGTGAGTGATGGGTCGAGTACTTAGTACCTTTGTTGTTAATATGACTTACAGAAGGGGTGCCTGGGTGGCTCAGTCAGTAAAGCATCCGACTTCAGCACAGGTCATGATCTCACAGTCCGTGGGTTCAAGCCCCGCGTCGGGCTCTGTGCTGACAGCTCAGAGCGTGGAGCATGATTCCATGTCTCCCTCTCTCTCTGATCCTCCCCTGCTCACGCTGTCTCTCTCTCTCTCTCTCTCAGGAATAAATAAAAACATTAAAAAATATGACTTACAGAATAAAATTTTAATAATGGCTTTAGCAGCTGGCTCATGAAATTCCTGAGGATGTAGCAGGTGGTTCTTGCAAGCGGAGTCCCCCGCCCCCACACCAGACCAGGGTTGCTGTTCCCGCCTCCCTACTGGCTCGGGTCGCCTCATCTTCATCACCGTGCATTAGTTCTGCCTGTTCATGTTTCATACAGATGGGACTTGACGATATTTAGCTTTCCCTGTGGCGCTTTCCCTGTGGCTCTTTCCCTCAACTCAACACCCGTGAGAACTGTCCGTGTTACGGTATCAGAGCTGTGTTCTGTCTAGTGGGTGACCGTGGGATGGATCACCGCTCGCCACTCCACCGTTGGTGAATACTTGGTTGGCTTCCAGATTTGGGCAGTTATGAAAACAGCTGGGAAGCAGTCCATCTGCTGTGGGGGGTGTGGCCACCGCGTTTCAGGACACACCCAGCTTCAAGAAGTGGCTCCACCTGCACTGGGAGCTTGGCTGGGTGCTGGGGCCATTCCCACCCACTCTCCGCACGCATACCCTGAGCATCTTCCCAACGGCAGTATGTGCTTGCTTCTTACAAAACTCCCATTTGTGTAAGCTGGTATCTAGGTCTTAATAGTGAGAAACAGTTGTCTTCAACAAACCTAAAGCTTGGGGCACCTGGGTGGTTCAGTTGCTTTAGCGTCCAACTGTTGGTTTCAGCTCAGGTCATGATCTCACAGTTTGTGAGTTCAAGCCCCACGTGGGGCTCCACATGGACAGTGTGTGCCTGCTTGGGATTCTCTCTCTCCCTGTCCCTCTGCCCCTCTCCTGTTTTCTATAAATGATTGAATGGTTGAATGAATGAACAACAGAAAAAGCAACCGAAACTTAAAAAGCTGCACATTTCAGAGAGATGCTAACTAGCCAGCACAGCTCACAGAACTTATTCTCACTCTTGCTCATTATTTGGCTAAAATCCTGAAATGTAGAGACTCCATTAATCTTCCAGGGGCGGCAGGGTAACATGAAAGAAAACACGTAACTTCAGTTACGACCGCAGGCAACTGCAAAATCGGCCAGGTGTTTTGCTT